CGAGGGACACCAGTCGGAGGGTCTACGCAAGTACGGTGCCGCCTTCCCCGAGCAGCGCTGCTTCACCCTTGTCTTCAAGGGCAAGCGCAAGAACCTCGACCTGGCCGCCCAGGATGAGAAGGACGCCCGTCATTGGGTGCACGGGCTCAGCAAGCTGATGGGGCGCCTCCAAGCCATGAGTCAACCAGAGAAGCTCGACCAGTATCCTTTGTTGGAGCTCTGGGGGCTCGGGGACAGGTTGGGGATGACCATGGAGGTGACGTCGGGTGGTTTCCTTACCTCGGCGTAGCTGGATCCATGGGGTCCTGCAGCGAGCAGACAGGAACAAGGACAACAAGATGTCCTTCCGGGAGGTGAAGAGCATGCTGAGGATGATCAACATCGACATGGATGACGGCTACGCCTACAAGCTCTTTAAGGTACCCATCCTGTGCTCCATCACCCGCTGTGCCCCGCTGCTGTCACCGGGAAGGAGTGCCAGCTCCTTCTCTGCCTTCCCGAGCGCAGAGAACTGTCAAACTCATCACACCCAAAGCCACCCACCATCACCAACAGTTGGGTCCACCACCAATGGTTGGGTCCCATCGTGAGCAGGAGCTCATGATGGGGTGGGGTGAACTGTCCCCCCCATTGCTCTGTGGGTCCCCAAGGTGTGACATTTTTGTCCCCATGGGCATCTCCCAGGGTTCCTTTCCACCTGGGGAAACTGAGGCACGGCGCTCTGCTCTGCTCCATCTCAGACTGGAGGATCAGAGGGGACATGCCACTGTACCCCCTTAGGCACCACCCAACCCCGAGCCCTCATGCCAGTAGCCGAGCCCCCCCAAACTCATCACAACGCTGCCAACCGCAAGGGACAGGCAGGACGAGGCAGGGGGTGGCCGTGGGCAGGGGACGGTCCCCAAGGTTGGGCTGTGGTCCCATCAGGAGTGCGACCGTTCGGGCGACGAGCGGCTGGAGGGCTGGGAAGTGGAGGAGTTTTGCCGACGGCTGCTGCGGCGGCCAGAGCTGGAGGAGCTTTTTGGGCATTACTCGGGCGAGGACTGTGTCCTGTCGGCCGAGGAGCTGCGGGATTTCCTCCGGGACCAGGGCGAGGACGCCAGCCTGAGCCAGGCCCGCGCCGTCATCCGCACCTACGAGCTCAACGAGAAGGGTAGGGCTGAGGGCAGCCAGCTTGGGCGGTGGTGGGATGGTGGGATGGTGGGATGGGCACTGCCGGAGCCAAGGGAGTTCATGGATGACGTGGGGATGGGGCTCTGCTTGGTGGTGTCACACCCCAAGCTGGTATGGGGTCCTCCAAGGCTCAGGTGAGTGCCCTCGTGTCCCCTCCCCAGGGTGGCACTGGGTGCCAGCAGTCCAATATGTGGCCTTGCTGGTCTCTGGTGGATGTGGCACTGTGGGGACAGGGGACGTGAAGGTGGGGATGTACAGCAGGTGGACCTCCATGTCTCCTGGGCGATGTGGTGCCAGCCCTAGCATGAATGCAACACTACTGGGGGACTTCCATGTCCCTTGGGTCCCACCACACCAGGTCCAGGGTGAACACGGCACTAGGAGGACAGGGGACATCATGGTGGGGATGAAAGACCTCCACGTCTCTTGGGTATCACAGTAGTACCCCTAGGGTAGACGTGGCACTAGCAGGATGGGGGACATCAAGGTGGAGCTGGGACACCAAGGGGACCTCCGCATCTCCGGGGTGCCACAGTGCCAGGTCTGGGGTGAACATGGCACTATGAGGACAGAGGACGGCAAGGTGGGGACAGGGAACCTCCACATCTCATGGGTGCCACCATGCCAGGTCCAGGGTGAACGTGGCACTAGCAGGACGAGCGCCATCAGGATGGAGATGGGACATTCAAGGGAACTTACACGTGCCCTGGGTGCTGCAGTGCCAGGTCTGGGGTGAACAAGGAGCTGCTGGGAGACAGGGGACATCCAGGTGGGGACAGCCCCCGGGGTACCACCGCGCCAGCGACGTGCCAGTCCTCTGCAGCACCCCGACAGGACCTGATGATGCTGGATGGCTTCATGATGTACCTCCTCTCAGCCGCTGGTGACATCCTCAACCAGGAGCACACCAAGGTGCACCAGGACATGAGCCAGCCCCTGTGCCACTACTTCATCTCCTCCTCCCACAACACCTACCTGACCCACAACCAGATCGGTGGCACCAGCAGCACCGAAGCCTACGTCAGGTGGGTGCCCCTGCTCAGATGCTCCGTGCCCGGATGGTCCCTGTGGTTCGAGGGTGCCAGGGCGGTGCAGGGACTCACCCGGTGCCGGGGCGGCGGCAGGGCGCTGATGGCTGGATGCCGTTGCGTGGAGCTGGACTGTTGGGAGGGCTCCGACGGGGAACCCATCGTCTACCACGGCCACACGCTCACCTCCAAAATCCTCTTCCGTGATGTCATCGAGAGCATTCGTGACTACGCCTTCAAGGTGAGCCGGGTGCCCACAGCCCTGGGACGGGTGCTGGGTGCCGGGTGCTGAGCGCTGCCCGTCCCCGTCCCAGCAATCGCCCTACCCCGTCATCCTGTCCCTGGAAAACCACTGTGGGCTGGAGCAGCAGGCCACCATGGCCCGGCACATGAAGGCCATCCTGGGGGACATGCTGCTGACACGGCCGCTGGAGGGGCAGGACTCCCACGACCTCCCGTCCCCGGAGGTAAGGCCACCCGCCTGCCCACCGTGGTGTCCCCATGTCCCCTCCGAGCCCTGAGCTCGGCCCTTCCTCCCGCAGCAGCTGAAGGGGAAGGTCCTGGTTAAGGGCAAGAAGCTGCCAGAGCCACGGCATGAGCCCCAGGATGGCACCTCCCTTCCGGACCCTGAGGAGGAGGAAGAGGAGGAGGAGGAAGAGGAGGAGAAGCTGCAGGAGAGAAGCAGCCGGCGGGTAAGGGGGTCTCCCAGGGCTGTGGTGCCAGGAGATGATGGCATCCCAGTGATGCTGGGGGACCATGGTGTCCTGGTGGTCCTGGAGGACGATGGTGTCCTGGTGGTGCTGGAGGACCATGGTGTCCTGGTGGTGCTGGGGGACTATGGCGTCCTGATGGTCCTGGAGGACCATGGCATCTCAGTGGTGCCACAGGACTGCTGGGCATGGGGCAGGTGAGCATTGCCAGCATCCCCCGATGCAGCCCTGCTCTCTCCTCTTCCAGTCTCAGTCGCTGCAGGAGATCAAACCTCTGCAGGTGAGTCGTGTGGTGGAGCTGGGTGGGCTGACAGGTCGGGTACCGTGGGGGTGGTGAGAGTCTGTCACTGGGCAGCAGAGGGGACTCCTCGGCTGTGTCTCCCTCTTCCCCCATTGGGCTGGGTGCTCCATTTCTGGGGTCTCCATCACCTCGGGGTCTCCATCACCTCAGGGTCTCCATTGCCTTAGGAACGCCATGACTTTGGGTCTCCATCAAATTGGGGTCTCCATCACTTCTAGGGTGACTCCTCAGAGTCTCCATTGCCTTGGCGGGGGGTGGTTCTCCATTGCGTCAGTTCTCAATCACCTCAAGTTCTCCATCACCTTGGGGTCCCTAATGTCTTGGGCTGTCCATCACCTTGGGTTCTCCATGACCTCAGGGTCTCAACCTGTTTGGGTTCTCCATCATCTCAGGGTCCATCATTCCATTGCCTGAGGTTCTCCACCACTTTGGGGTCTCCATCACCTTAGAGTCTCCATTGCCTCAGGTTCTGCATCGCTTTGGGGTCTCCATGGCCTCAGGGGTCCCAGCACTAGCAGGGTAGGGGAGGTCTGTAGACCCTCAGGCAGGTAGGTGACCATCAGAGCCAGGGTGGCCCTGACACCACAGCAGCTCCCGCAGGCCAAGGACGCGTCACAGGTGGCCCCGGAGCTGTCAGCCGTGGTGGTGTACTGCCAGGCTGTGCCCTTCCCTGGCCTGACCCACGCCCTGCGCCACCCCCGGCCCTGCGAGATGTCCTCCTTCAGCGAGAGGAAGGCTCGGAAGCTCATCAAGGAGGCGGGTGAGTGCGATGGGATGGGGATGGGGATGGGGATGGGGACAGAGCGGCTCCATGCTCCTGACCTCACCGAGGTGCAGGATGGGGCTGAGATAGATGGGCTCTGTCACTGGGGTGGCTCCATGGGTGGTGGTCGAGGGCACGCTGGCCTCGGTCAGGCTGCTCTGGTCTGGTGGGACTGGGGTCTGGTGTCAGGGGTGAGGGTCACAGGTCCAGGATCAGGGTCTGGTGTAGGGTCAGGGTTTGGGATGTGCCATCTGGGTCCAGGGTCACGTCTGGGGTCCAGGACTGGGCTTAAGATCTGGGCCAAGGTCCAAGGACTGAGGTCTGGGGTCAAGGTCTGGGGTTTGGGTTCAGGGTCAGGATCTCAGGTCAGGGTCTGGGGACCAGGGTCCAGATCTGGGGTCAGGGTCTGGGGTCCACGATCAGGATCTGGGGTCTGGGTCTAGGAACCAGGGTCAAGGTCTGGGGTCAGGGTTGGGGTCTGGGGTCCAGCACCAGGATTAAGACCTGGGTAAGGTCCAGGATCTGGGGTTTGGGTTTGGAGTCTGAGGTCCAGGGTCAGGGTCTGGGAACCAGGGTCAAGGTCCAAGGTCAGGGTCTAAAGTCAAGGTGTGGGGTCAAGGTCAGGATCCAGGGTCAGGGTCCAAAGTCCAGGGCTCGGATTAAGATCTGAGTCAGCCTCCAGGGGCTGAGGTCTGGGGTCAGGGTCTGGGGTCAGGGGTCCAAGGTCAAGGTCTAGAGTCAAGGTCCAGGGTCGGGGTCTGAACCCCAGGGTCTGGGTCATGTTTCAGGCTCTGGGTCCACCCAGCCAGGCAGGCTCCATCCACGTCCCCGGGC